GAGGACATTTGATTTGTTTATAATCAGGATGAAAGTCAGAAATATCTATAGAGGTTAGGTGACTGCTCTGGATATTTCCAGTAACCACTTTATCTGATTAACCCAGTTGGCCATTTCATGCATTCACACACAGAGACCTCATTTCTGAAAGTGATGACTATCATGATCTTTGTTCTGTGACACAGGTGCCAGTTTGAATAGAAGGGTTTTGTGTGGGGCATGCAAGGGGCCAGACATTAATCTTACAAATTGTCAGGGTTCCCATGCAACCGAGCCATTGGATTGTCTTCATATTGAAAGAAGCCAACAAATCCCCATAGTTGTTCAATACTAGGGTTGATGGCAAGGATTCCTTTGGAATTTTATACTTAGTTATTTCTAACATGAACAATGCCACCCTCACTTTCCTTTCATGTTTTATAAAATTCTCTTTCTCACTTTTGTTGTGGAGAGTTTGATAACACATTGCCACTGCAGGGAACAAATGAATGTCCTTTGGGCCCCTGGCAAAAAACAAAGGGGACACTCAGATATGATGTGCTCCATTATTTGTGCCTGTTGACCACAGTCACATATAGGTGTTTGACTTATTTTCCATTTAAAGAGGATTGCCCACATCTCCTATGAGATGTCCTGATATGATTCAATCTGCAGCAGTCTTTCCAACATAATTCAAAACCTTGAGGAGGTTGTCTCCAGATAGTGTCGGATGCAGAGGACATTGGAATCCTGCTTTGATATGGTTAAGTGAGGCTACTTGGTCACAACTATATCTTGTACTTATGGGAGATCTGACTAGTCTCCCTTTCACTGGGAAGGCAACAGCGTGCAACTCATCCTTATCAGGTCTCACATCACCACTTTCAAAGATTATTTGAACCACCAAATATAGGAACCAAGAGGCAATCCCTGCTGAAAAACTCTTGGGTTTCTGAAAAACCTCTAAGGCCTGAGCCTCTAAGGTCTGATCATCCATTCTGGCTACTCTCAGCATAATCCATATCTGTCCATTATTCATAGGAACAACTTTGAGGTCCCTCTTCAAAGTGGAATTTTCATGGATTGCTAGCAACATACAAATTTCATCCATGATCCGTTAGCCTCCAGCATTAGCCATCAGATACCCAAGTTCTGTGACAGATATTGAGATCCAAAATACAGTATTCATTTAGGCATTTCCTTACCACTACCTATATTCTCCTGAACTTCAGACCATTTCTCCAGAGCAGTAACAATTTCCGGGGAGGGGGAAGGGGTATTTCCTTGGACAAACTATGCTTAGTTGTCACAAAATACACTACATACATCTTCACCAAGCACACTGACCCTTGTCCGGTTTGGCCAATATACATGGCAAGGGGGCATTGCTGGCACATCACATTAGTAGATGTACAGGTTGATGGGCCCCTGATTGTAGCTTATGTGGTTAGGTCTTGTGATGGTGTCACTTGCACAGATATGTGGGCAAAGGACCATCCCTGCACCAAAGGGTAAATGGACACAAATCAGACATCAAGAAAAGTAACATACAGAAACATGTAGGAGAACACTTTAACCTCCCTGAACATCAGTAATGAATTTAAAAATAACCACACTTTTTGCAAAAAACAAACTTCAAAATCAGATGATAAATTGAAATTAGAGGTATAATTCATTTTCAAATTTAACACAATCAAATTAGGACTAAATAAGGATTTAGAGTGGTTATCTCACTACAAAAGCAGTTTGGTACTCTCACTCCCCACAGCTGAAGGAGAAGTGTGTCACATCCACCTGGAGTGAATTTGCCTCGATAACACTGATCCTACAGTGGATAAGTAACTCTGTTCTTTGCCTCTGTAATTTCTATTCCAATGCATCAGACAAAGTGATTCTTAACCATGAAAGCTGAATCCCAAATAAATGTGTTAATCTCTAACATGCCACAGGACTCCTCGTTTGTTTGTTTGTTTGTTTGTTTTGTTTTCAGAGGAAGACACCTACCTGCAGCAAGGTTAAAAATAATCAATTCATTCTGTTTAGCACATACAGGCTGATGACCAAAAGAGACAAGTATGCTTTGTCTGCATCAATATTGTCAAACCATGGTAGATAATTAATATTACACTTTATTGGGGTCGGCAACACTTTTTGATTGGGGCCACTTGAAAGTTTAAGTGGCCCCAGGCTGCCGTGGAAGGAGCGGGGCCAGGACATTTCCATGCTTCCCTGCCTCTGATTGGTGTGTGGGTGGGGTTCTGAACAGCTGGCATTTCCCTCTAGATGTCTGTGCCTCTGGCAGTGGGAGAAGACTTCAGGCACTCTCCCCCCCTCAGGTCAATCAGGGCCTGCAGGCGAGGGAACATGTGAAGTCTGCACTTGCCCTGCAAGGGAGCATTGTACTTAGTCACCCACCAGCTGAGCAATGAGAAGTCTCGTCCCTGCCTGTGGTGCGCAGCACTTAATCAGCCACCAGGGTTGACTCTCACCACCATACACTCCCCTATCCCTAGGCCCTGATTCACCGTGGGGCAGGGGAGCGGCAGGACTTCTGCAAGCTGGATGAAGCAGCTTGGCAGGCCAGATCTGGCCCATGGAGGTCCTTTTGCCCACCCCTGTATTTGTAACTAGTACAAATATAATTTGTTTGCCTTCTCATCTTAGCCACAATGAGTACAAAACCCCATTACTGTATTTTAACCTTTATATTGCAGGCTTGTTACAACAGGAACTGTATCTTTTTTTTCATGTGGGTAGTAGCTAGCCCATTGTAGACACTATTGTAGCAGCTTTATTTAAGTTTTAACATGGTGGTTTTGAATATAGACAGTTCCTCATAGGACATCTGAAAATTCAAATGATTCTTTAAAAGTGTACAAAGAGTTACTTCCTCATACACAGGGAGAAACCAAATTTGACTGAAACAGTAAGGCAAACAGTTCCCACTGTGCTCTTATTTCTGTTATCAGTTAGTTTAATAACCAGCTTATCCATCAGTTGGCACAGCTAGTTTACAGTTGCACTATAGTACATATTCTTTACATAAGTTAAAAGGAAAAAGAAAGTGTTAAACCAGCTCATCTTGGCATAAAGTGAAATAGCTAACTGTGTCCAAAAACATAATATGGCCATGAGGGAACTAGTAGGGTAATTATATTTTGTTAATTTGAAACCAGAGACCATGTTCCACTAAGAATACATGCAGATCAGTGTTTAACAAACCAACAGGTAACCACTGATTAATACACACATTTTTCTTCTGTTTTGTTTATTTTCAAGTGTTACACTTTTATTTGGAAGTAATCTGTTCCATGATTTTCTCTCTCTCTCAACCACTAGAAATTTACGCAAAGTATTTCTTTGGTTTTTTTTTACTACGTTTATATGAATGTATTTGTAATATAAATGGGATGATGTGAGGTTGTTCCCCATCCCGGTTTTCTGTCATTAGTCTTCTAGAAAATGGTTACTGTTAAGCATAGTACTAGTTTGTCAGAGATTTTTATTTCAGCATTTCCAAAAGCTACGCTGACATAGGTGTTTAGAAAGAGGAAAATGTAATGCTACTGACTCACCAGTGAAAAAAATAGGAGATACCATTAGACACTGTGGCTGTGTCTTGCAAATTCCGCAGGGGATTTAAATATCCCCCGCAGCATTTGAATGAACATGGCTGCCGCTTTTTTCCGGCTCGGGATTTTGCCGGAGAAAAGCGCCAGACTAGACGGGATCTTGCGGAAAATAAGCCCTTTTCCGTAAGATCCCTTATTCCTACTTGAAAGGGCTTATTTTCCGCAAGATCCCATCTAGACTGGCGCTTTTCTCCGGCAAAACCCCGAGCCGGAAAAAAGCGGCAGCCATGTTCATTCAAATGCTGCGGGGGATATTTAAATCCCCTGCGGAATTTGCAATTCCGAAGTGTCTCATTAGCATCTCTTTTATGGAAAAGGGTGCCAGTGTAGACACAGCCTGCATGTATTCCTTGGGGAGGTGGAATCATTCCAAATATCACAGGTCATTGTAACCTTTTTTTCTACCCAAAGCCAAATTACAGCGCTTTTCATCAAAACCTACGCTAAGAAAATATGTTTAGTGTTCCACAAATCCAACTGTAGTTTTTTTCAAGAATGGCATTTTCCCCTTTCAAGGCTCATTAATTCTTGTTCATGGAATTAGGAGAAGTATACTGCCCTATTTTTGTTTTTTACCATTAGTTGTTCAGCCCTCAACATGCTAAAACTTTCATATGCTACAGTAGAACCTGTTTATAAGGACACTGATGTAGTGAAGTTCCATGTATGATGGAGATGGATTAACTTGTTTTACCAACTTTTGAACTTGCGTCTCCTGCTCTCTCTCTGTATAGTAAATATATTTATATGCATACGCTGTATATAGGATATTCATTGATATAAGCATTGTTTTCTAGAAGTTCCATGAATAGGCCATAATTCAGACTTCCTTTAGCTAAGAAAAAGATATTCTGTTTTTCCTTTCTATTGACTCTCCTTGATTAAAAGCATGCATTGAAAATATAGTGAAGAAAACATTTGTACACTTTGAACAAGTTTTAAAATGTCAAAAATGTTTGCAGGATTTTTAATTGTAGTGGATTTACCAATCCTTAATGAATAATGAAATAGAATAAAAATCCAGAGACTGCTTCAAAATACTGCAGTTTAATTTACAGCCTAAATCCTGTCTCAGTATAGCTTTTTGACAGGGTGAATTACCTTCGGGTTTGAGGAGAGGAAGAATATTGTATGTGGCCACACTAAAGCCATTATTTGCAGCCTAAGAGCTAAAGCACACTTCACACAAGTTCCCCAATGGTGAAACTCTCAGAGCCAGATCTCTAGAAGTATTTTAGCATCTTACTCCCATTGAAATGAACTCCCCATCCAAGTCAATTGGGGATCTGGTCTGCAGAGACACTGCAGACCTTGGATTTGTACTCCTTTGAGTGTTTTGGTTTATTGATGGCATTTGATAAGTCACTGAAAGATATATTTGCTCTTTAGTGGTGGATCTGAACCTTCTAAAGGAGGAGGTACGCCTCTACAGCTGTACACCTCGCAATTTCTCTGTGTCGCTGAGGGAGGAACTGAAGCGAACTGACACCATCTTCTGGCCACTCTGTCTATTGGTTAAACGTTGCAGTGGAAACTGTGCCTGCTGTCACCATGCTTGCAGTGAGTGCCAATGCATCCCAACCAAAGTTACCAAAAAATACCATGAGGTATGTACCACATTATGTGTTTCTGTATTTGAGGCCAGAGAAAATCCATTCACAAAATAATCTTTATTGTGAATGTGAAGGCTGACCAAACACAGTTCATAGGATAAGGATAATGTCACTGTACAGACACACATTTGGAAGAAGCTTTCTCATTTACTAAGAGTTTAAAAAAATCAGAACCTCTGCTCTCTTACTCCATTCTTCTGGGAACGTCAGTGGAAAATATAACTTTTCTATTTTTGTTGTAAAACATTCCAAATGTTATTTTTTTTAATAGAGGTTATTTTTGTGGACAAAAAGGATTTTCCCCGGGGGAGATACTGTAGACTGAGGAGGTCTATATTTGAATAATCTATCTATGATGGGCTAAATAAGAGAGGCTCTATTTAAAAAAAAAAAGTGAATTGAAAAACACTTTAAAACAGCTGGCCCATTTTGAAAGTTATCATTTTACACTTGATAATATGCCAAAGCTGAAGAAATATAAAGGGTTAAACAACAGTAGGTCATGTAAAATGTTTCCTGTTTCTGACATTAATTGAAGACCTAAATATATCCATTTAGTTTCTCTACTTATTTCTTGAACCTGTAGGTGTATGGATTCAATGACTCATTATTTATATATATTTTTTTTACCATGCTATAATCCATTTGTAAAGAAATAGATTTGACTAGTGGTAATTTTCTAAAGAGAAAGGAAGTGGCTTATGCAACATAGTGACATGAGTTAATTTACAGTTTATAACAATTTACAACATCTGTTTTCATGTTATCACAGAAATTATAGCTTTCAATAGAAAAAACAGCTTCTGTGAGCACTTTTGAGCAAGTTCGTGAACATCACTGAACTATCTAAGAGCAGATCAACTAATTTATTAGATAAATATGCAACAGTATACCTTTTAAACTATATTGTATAAGGCTTATAAAATTATCATTTTAAAAAGCTATTAAATTTGTATATGAAATTAAAATACCTTCCACAGCTGTGAGTGGAAAACCCTTTTTTTAAACTACACATCACTGAATATCTATAGCTAAAGTCAACATTATTTTGTCCAGAACCATCTGATAATATTTAATTATTAAGGCAAATATATGTGTAATCCTTCAAACAAAAAAGAAAAAAAATACCCTGCCCAAAACTAACTGCAGTAAAGTTTGCTTTGACCAAAGTAAATGTCCGTCTAGCATATCTTAATGTCTTAATCAAGTTTGTGGAAAGCTTGAAGTAAAGCCAAAAAAAAAGTAATGTATATTAATGAGCGGAATAAATGAAGAAACTCAGTTGTGGAGTTGACTGTGTTTCCTTTTGTGGTTTCTCTGTCTTCCAGTTTACTGCTACCAGCATTTTGTAGATCATGAGCAAGATATTTAATGATTTACTTTAAAAGCCTGGCTCCCAATTGTCCTCTTTCAGGTTCTTCAGCTGAAGCCCAGAAGCGGAGTAAAGGGATTGCATAAATCATTGACAGATGTACCCCTGGAACACCATGAGGAGTGTGACTGTGTGTGCAAAGGGAATACTGAAGGATAAATGTGGCTAACCGTGCTTCTTTCTTTCAAAGTACATTCAATCAATGGCTGGTTCTGTTATGGGGCTTGTGCATTATCTCCTTTCGTAATCTCAGTTGTTTGCTTTGGGGATCTTCCATCTTCAGGATTTACAGTGAGCTCTAAAGAGAGAAGAAACCAAGATGAGATTATATGTTGTGTAAAGGCACTGTTGCTTGGAGGCCCAGTCAAAGGATGGGAGAAAGGCACCGGTGAGGGATTTTTAAAGGTGTATATTGTCTTTTGCAGTTGGCTTGACATTACACGGATTTAAAAGTTTAGTATAACACATTAGAGTGCTCCCACCATGAAGACTTGACTCTGCTTGCTGCCTTACTTCTACATCTCCAATGCATCTGCCCTTTGATTGACAACATTTGGAATCTCTCTTACTGTACTCAACCACTCCTACATGCTCTAAATCCGAGTGTTCTAGGTCTTACAAACTTGGTTAAAAACAAACTGTCTTATTCTGAATTAAACTTAATTAGGAAAGACTGGATGTTTCCACACACGCTATGAAAGTTCCTGCCTTTTAGAAAAAATGGACTGAACCATATGCGTGAATTAAGGAGGCAAGTAGTGAGAAGAACAGTGGTTTTACTTTAATTACTATGCCCACAACTTTTTGTTTGTATTTTTTATCGTGTACATTTTTATACTCTCCTTTTGACATATAACTATTTGCTTTTTCTAATCTTGTTAAATATATCTATTTTTACCAAAGGTATTTAAGATTCTTTTTTATTACAGCCTAGATCTACTATATTTTAGTTTTGTAAGACTTTCAAGCCAGAGGTATACAGTTTAAGTAACAGAGATGTGCTTACTGTGGCAAAGCATCTATTTCTGAATTTTCTGGCCCTAGAAAGGAGGACAGATCTTGGTGTATGCATTTAAATATAGAAATGACAAATGAAAAGATTTTCAGTATGGATGAAGCTTTATGCTTGCAAGTTCCATGATACTGACAATATGAAAAACAGATGTTGCTATTAACGATTTCAAAAATAGCTATCAAAATCCCTCTATATTCTGGCCTTTTGTCAAATAGAAAAAATTAATCAGTTTTAGTGAGACCAGTTCTGGCTTGTTTTATTGTTTAATTTCTTTGAAGTAGAAAAGTCTACATCGTAATGAGAAGTTCAGTGGCTTGTTGTCTTCATGAGGCAGTGTGTTCATAGACAGGCAGCCATATTTATTGCTCCAGGTGTATGGTTTTTCATTTATGGTTATGTCCATTTAAAAGCAGTTGACTCCCAAGATATTAACTCTGTAAGTACAGTCTTATGAATTACAGTTTTGTTTATGTATGGTATATCCTTTAACCAGCACACTTATCCCATCCTATGCAAATTGGAAAGAAAAGAGTAAAGTATTTTGGTTTTAAAAAGCTTTAACATTATACTTAGTTTATACTTTGACTATTGGATATACAGCTTGTAATAAATCACAAAATAAAGTCATAATGCTAACTTGGGAGAAAAAATGTCTGTGTAGTTATGTACTGCATTGGCTGTCTGGTCCATATTAAAGAAAAACAAACCTGAAATATATTTGCCAGGATGAAAATCAACTAGAAAAATTAAAGTCTTCTATACTGTAAGAGGTATATTCTTAGGTTCTATTCTGAATAGCAGCAAGTTCAAGTTCTAGTCACAAACTCTTTTAACCCTGACCTGATCTGTCCCTGTCCCCTGGAGCCTGACCCTACTCCAGTTTTGTCTCTACCTGCAATCATCTTCCTGTCTTACTATCACAGTCTCTTCTATCGCCCTTCCAGGAAAAGTCTGCTCCCCTCCTGACCATCTCATCCCATTCTTTCCCACCTTGGCTTCTAGTTCAAGTCTGCTTCACCTGGGCCTTTTCCACCACCTTATCTGCAGCTCATTTAGTCTGTCTCCTTGCCTAACCAGTCTATTTTCATCACTCACACCCATATCTGATTTCACTCTGCCAGGCCTCAACAGCCAGGAGGACCAAAAACAGGAAAATCCTGCTCCATCTCTGCATCCAGGAATGGTGCATGCTAGTTCTTTCTGAGGGGGTTGTGTATGTACTATTATCTAGTTGGCAATCAGGATGTTGGCAATCAGGATAGCGCATGCTCAGCGCAAACTGAATCTTCAGAAAATGTAGCTGCCATACTCCAGTCTTTACTGAACATGTATGACCTCACATTTTTCAAAGGCTTATACCTAGGCCGAGTTAGGAAAACATACTACTGGAAGTATTAAGGATGAAGTGTCAGTTTCTTCTAGCTTAGATCTCAATCTCTATGTAATGAGGGCATAGGATTCTGTACATTAATGTGCTGATAGCTTATACCCTGTTAATTGTATTGTTTACACACATTTTTAATATACTTGCATTCAGAAATATGATCACTGAAGAAAGATGTTTGGTTTAGGTGGTAGTTTTGAAGAATAGCTTAGATTATCTGTTGGCCTAACTGAAAACCCAGTCTAGACATAATCATTAGTCTTCATTTACAAGTGATACAGGGAAACATGAGCTTTATTTGTAATATGAATAAGACACTTAGTTGAAAAACAGAAAAATATAAATAAATAATTAGGTATTAAGCATAACCTACTATATATTTGAGAGCGTTTGTAAGTGAGTGAGTCTGTCTGTCTATCTGTCTTTTTGTTCAAGAACTCCTCCTAAATGGTAAGAGCCCTGGCCACTAAAGTTGGGAAAATCTTCTTGTATTAAATAGTTGTAGTGGGCTAAATCCTGCAACTTTTTGAAGTAAGGGGCGGAGAGATGCTTGAACAGGATTCATTCAGATAGGTGATGGTCCATCCAGGTCTGGGTTTTGGATGGGAGGGGCTCCTCCCAGGACTATTGGTGTATCTTATTTTGAGTAAAGGCTACCAGCACAAACAGGATTTTCAGGCTCGAAAGCTTGTTGTAGTCATACTATATTGCATGCAGGGTAAACACTAGTGAATTTTTGCATTATGCATGTTTTCAAATTTTCCCATCTACCTGATTTAGTATAAGTAACTGTGAAAGGCAATATTTTGCATCCACATTGTGCTGATGGGCACTTGTATATCCTATGCTGGACAATTATATAAACTCAAAGAAGACAGGCTGTTTTTGGAAAGTTTCAGGAAAGAATATTGTGAGGATTTTTCAGTGTCATTACAAATTTGCAAGTTGTAAACATCCATCACAGCAGGAGGGATATGAGTAAAATGAATGTATAGACACAAATACAACATTTGTAGTATGTATAGCATTGCTGATTTATCGGGACACTCCAAGTACCAACTCCTGCCCACAGAGATAAGACTGGAGAGTCTGCCAAGTCAGATTAACAGCAGACAAGACAATTTAACACCAAGATAAAAATATAGCACCATCTATTAGTGGACATGCTGCTGTCTACACTACACTTTACGATATTTAAACACTGGTGAAATGATATATAGTTAGGTTTCTAAGGACACATCTTGATGTTCCTGTTGGCTTTGTCAAAATTATGAGTGTTATCTTGGATTTAAATGCTGGGACATCTTGTCATTTCCACTCTCTGCTCTAATTCCTATACTTGGGTACAATTCTCACAGCAATGGTTTTAGGGGCTATGTTTCAACAATTTCCCTATTCCAGATTATGTACCATTTACAAGAAATAGAAGACATGTGTACAGTGCTTAGTCATTGTTTAGGTCCCCGCAGTGCTCTATGTATACAACAGGAAAAGATGAACACAGGGAATGGTAGGAATCACTCGGGGGGGGGGGGGGGGGGGAATGGAAGCTGTTAGTAATTTTTGTTTGGATGCATTTCTGTTCACTAACATTTGGTCTTTAAATATTGTAATTGAATTGTTTCTAAAGATATTTAGTGTAGTCGATTATGTAGTTGTCTTTAAACAAAAAAGCCTACTATACTTTGACAATCAAACGTACTGCTATTGTTTTACTTAATATAAATATCAGCCGTGTAATCCTTTAAACCATGGAGTAGTTTGTTTATTTTTGAAGATTGTCATGTAAAATTACATGACAGTGAGATCACATTAAAAACATGTAATTTGTTAGTGCCACAAAGCAGACCGAAAATCGTATGCATATCTTAAATCCACATCGGACATTCAAGCAGTAGTCCTATGATTTTCATGAAAATATTATTGCTTGTGCCTTATCTGAAAAGTTAAGTTTTGTCATAGTGTAATCTAGCTATTCATTTTGAATCGGTGATAATATAGACAGTGTTTTAACTTCTATTTTTGCAGGGCTCCAGTGAAGCTGAATCAGTATGTCACAATATGTTGCATGGGTGGAGGTTTAAAACTGGCAAACTGGGTAAAAAAGCCTATGTTCATTGAAATGGCACTGCTAGGCTTTGTTACAGGGTTTGTCAAGCTGAGAGCTGCTGAATTACAATAGCTTGGGCATTTGCATGAGTGTGAAGTAGGAAAAGGTGACAATATAAGTATGTGTCTAATGGGCCTAACTATATTGAAACAGCTGGAATAAAGCAGCCTACTGTAAAACACCATAGGCAGGCAGTACAGGGAAGGTTCTGCCATGAATCACATCCATAGCCTTACAATTAAAGTATGCCAACCCCATGAGAAAAATGTGGGGTCAGTGAGCCTTGCTGTGAATTGTTTTATGGATACTATGAGCATTTACCTTTCTGGAACTCTTCTGTGCACGAGTGATAGGTAGCACAAAAGTGCTACCTTTGGGTCCTACTCAGTCCCAACTGCTCTCTTTCTTGCTTTGCTGTGTTGCTTTTATACTAGTAAATATAGGCATTCATTTACTGTTTGGATCCCTGGGTATCAATGTATTATAATCAGGTTCTAATTGCACTGCAATTACCTATTAAGAGGTTTTTGCCCCAAAGAGCCCTCAGTCTAAGAAGATTATCACTCTCTTCTACAGCTAAAAAGAGAAGATTCATGGTTTATAACCAAGGAAGATCGGCAAGAAGTATTTATCACGCAGAATCACTTTATCTAACTTGTACCGCGTCTTTGCTTTGGGTACCTGGTGGACTCTGAATGGTGAAAGGGACCATATCAAAGAGAAGTTTTATAGATTGGCAGCTCAATTTTTCCAAAATGCACATAGAAAGTTATGTTGTCTGCATGTGTTCTGCATTTATGGGTACAGAAAATTATTTTTGTCACAGGCTATAATAGATGTGCATTACACATTTGAATGTAAATATGTCCCTTTAATTTACGCACACATTCCTGCATTTACTCATTTGTTTATTATAGTCTTACTTTCCCTTTAAATAACCTTAGTTATTAAAAAGTAATTTAACTCTAGCTTTTTTATGTAAAATGTTACTTTCAATGATGTCTTCAAACTTGCAACAAAGTTGCAACTAAAATCAGCAGAAAAGGGAGGGGGTATCTCTGTAGTCCTCAGCAAAGATGACTGTTAATAAGGCCGACCCACAATTCCTCAAAAATGCCTACTATAAATAACTCAAAAACACCATATCACAATCCATCCAAGAATTTAGAGATATCAAATCATTCTCCAACTAGCTCCATCCACACACAAACCCATCCCAGGAACCTTTTGCTTCCTGTGATACACCAAAAAGAGAACCCGGGCAGACCCATCATACTTGCTTATGATACTCCTACAGAAAGAACATCAGTACTCTCAGAAACCATCCTCAAACTACTCATCATATGAAGGGCTTGTTTTCTTTGAGTCACTAATGATTTCTCTCTAGAAACTCAGCCACATTAGCTACCTCCCTCAGAACACGATCCTTGCCATCATTACGCCCCTGTAACATAGATATCCGTCATGACAATAGTATTGTCATCTGTCTCAAATGTCTAAAAAACAGGGCATCCCTAAACACATGGCTGATTTCATCAATTTCATTCTCACCTATAAAAACAATTTTACATTCAAACATGTCCAAACCATGATCACTAGGATATATCCCCAAACAGGCCAACTTCTTCATGGGTGACTTTGAGGAAGACTTTCTGTACAAAAGCACCACAAAATCCAATGATCAACATCACTGATATTTTCATGTCCTAGAGAGATGACCTAAACTCCCTCATAGATTTCCACCACAGAGCAATATCTACACACCATTCAAGAGCCATCAGTTTAAAGTGCTGCTGCGGCACTGCCGCTGGGGCTGTGCTTTAAACTTCTAAATGTAGTGTGACAGTGTATTGCCCTGCCCTGGCCCTTTGAGGGGCCAGGGAGCTGGTGGGAGGAGACCCCAGCTGTGGGCAATTAGGAGGGCCCAGCTGAGGTATATAATAACAGCTCCTGGGAGGAGAGAGAGTGACCTGACTGCTGCTCTTGAGGAGAGAGCAGTTAAGACCTGACAGCCAGGGAAGAAGGAGGCTCCTTG